CATTCTCCTGTGGTTACTTGTCTATAACCAGCCCCTAACTGATCTGACTCCACACTCCCACTTAACACTCCAATTCAATGGTATGCTGACTGAGTACTTTCCCTAATGCAATAAATCTGTTGTGTAATTCTCCTCCTGGGAATACCTCTGGTCCTTTGTATCCACAAAATGCCCAGGGACTTTCCTCCTGGAATCAGCACCCTGTGCATCATCAAGCCCTCTCCCACTCTGCCTACAAGCACCCCCCCCTGTATACCAAGTACATATTTATAGTTCCCACCCAGACAGACTTGAAATTAATTCCTGGCCTCCTTATTCCCACATTGGTCCCGCCCTCCTTTCCTGTTCACCCTCAGAGCTAATACTCAAGCTCTGTTTCCTTCTAGAAAACATTTCATGAAATTATACTTATAATGATCTTGTACTGGTTTATCATACCATTTCTCTAATATTTCTGGCATTAAGTCATAAATTTATTTATGTACTTATTTATTTTTGTCTTTCTGAACTAACCAAAAATTCTTTGAGGTAAAGAGATTGCATTTTTCTTGCTTATTTTCATGTACCCTTCCATTTAGTTACTTATTGAGACTCTCTTTGTAAACAGCACTATACCAGGTAGTAAAGGAGGCTACTGTAGTTGGGCACAGTAAGTCCTAAGCAAATATTTGTGGGTTAATAAATTGTACCTCTTATCCTAGCAAGTAGCATATTTATTTAATAAGGAAAAACAGATTCTAAGCTCTTATAATTTTAGCTCATTTGACCACAGAAATAATATAAATTTTAAATAGTCCCCAGGAGTCAACAGTAGAAAGTTTCAACTATTGGGTTTCATACAGATTTTATTATATATTCACTTGCTTATATTCTTGAGAACTTAATGTTACTTTTGTAATGCTGCTAAAAGAATGTTATTGCCTTTTAAACCATACATTTTATCCTTAAGTTTGACATAAAATGCTATAAATAAATCAAATAGAAAACTACTTAGCAACTTGACATCTATAATAACAGGAGGTGTGTTTCTGTAAGGCCAGATTTATAAATAGGCAGAGGCTCCCAAATTTTGTTATTATAATTTAATTGCACAAACTTCTGTTGAAGGTTTGCATCATTTAGCTAACAAATATGTCCATAAAATAAGCATTATGATATAATACATATTCAAGCAAATGAATAAATGTCACAGTGACTGTTCTCTTGAATTACAACAAACAATAAGTGGTATAGCCCCAGATATTTACTTCAATTGGCTCTGGAGGGAAGGATAGGCTTCTGAGTAATCACCATGGTGACTGATTCACTCTTTATGTGGGAATGGTACTGAGGTAAAATGGTGCCATTTATCATATAGCTCCCATCCATCATAATATCCAGCAAGGATGCTCATCATACAGCTTTAGGTTTAAAGAGACTGCTGGTTTTTGTTTAAGGGGGCTGAGGATGTAGTTAAGTTGTTAGAATTCTTAGCTAGTACACATGAAGGTCTGGGTTCAAGACCCTGTACTACATAAACACAATATGGAGGTAGTGCACACCTGTAAACCCATCACTCCTGAGCTGGAGGCAGTAAGATCAGGAGTTCAAAGTCATCCTTAATTAAACAGCCAGTTTAAGGCCAGACTGGAACATACAGACTTTATCTTTAAAAGGAAGAGGATAAGAGGAACATCTTTAAAGAGAAAATATTATTTTAATTGTGTCAGATTGAGAGTGAGAACTTGTAAAGCCAATTTCAGCCTCTGAATAACATTCCTTGCTTCCAGAGAGGATTTACTTTCTGCTTCTATTAGTTATCAGGGCTAAGGGCAGATCTCCTAAATCCAGCTGAGAATGGAAATAATTCTAATTTAGGCTCTAGTCCCTTTCCAAGGGATTCTGGGAGCTCTGCTTAACTTTGGCCTTTGACATTCAGCAGGCACTTGTGAAAACAAGCAGTCCCACAGGCTGTGCCCAGCTCCTGTTCTCAGACCCCACCTCTCCTGCTCCCCTGCCTCCTCAGCCTGACTACACAGCTTTCAGTGCCTCACACAGGTGACCTATGCATCTGGTTTTTCTTGCCTTACTCTCAGGAGGCTTGCTTTGAATCCATGGCCAGAAGCAGAGGAGCCCTCCTTTGATGACTGCTGTTACTTTCCCTGTCTTTTTAGTTAAAAAGCTTAAAATGATCCTTAGTAACTCAGTGTCTGGTATCTCCTCTTCCTCTTGCCCATCTGGCATTTATAAAAGGGTCTTCAAAATCTAACTTTATTCCCACTCACTGACTTTGCTTATGATTGTGCTAACTTCTATCAGGTGTCAAGTCTGGTCTTGAACTGGATGGCACAACACAAAATATCTTGGAGCTTAAACAGTTAAACTGGAATCCCTGTCTGAGTCTATATTATTTACTTCTGTGTGGTTATGAATAAAACACCTGGCTCAGTCAGAAAAGAGCACTACCTCATGCACTGGATGGAACATCATGGCAGCTGGAGCACGTTGTAGAAGCACTTTCTCACCTCATGGCTGATGAGAAGCAGAAAAAAAAGTCCAGGGACTAGGCAACACCTTCAAAGATATGTGATCCGTGACTTACTTCTCCCAACCATGTCCTGGCCCTAGAAATTTCTAGTATTTCCTTCCCCCCACCAAGCTGCAACTATGGTGATATCTTGTTTGTATAAATAAAAGGTGTCTGAAGATCAGAGGGTGGAGTTTGCCACTTGCCACAGAGGTCTGTAAGACTATACAGACAGGAAGTGAGGTGACTGGGCAGAGAAAGGAATATAAGCAGGGAGGAAACAGGAAGTCAGTCTATTTTCACCTGGGAAGCTGGTGAGGTAAAGGCAGCTTTGGCTTGCTCCTCTTTCTCTCTGATCTCTCAGCATTTTTCCCTATATCTGACTCTGGGCTTTTATTATTAAGACTTATGAGTACTCATGTTACAAGCAACAGCACTGGGAACCTATCAATCAACATGTACATTTCTAATTGAAACCAGAGCAGAACCACTCACCCTGAAATGTCAGAAGAGATGCCAATTCTAGAGTGGTTCCTATAGGAAACCATGGCATCCACATGTCTATCCAACAGAAAGGAGATACTCATTTTGTGCTATGACTTAGTCAAAAAGTTACTCCTTTACCCAATGGGGACTAACTGAAAACTTTCTCATACTGGCTGTCAACTCTTAGGGAAGGGGGAGAGGAGGAACCTAGCACTCTCAGACAAGGTGGGTAGCCTTCCAACAGAAAGGAGAAACAAGCAGCAAACAGTTTCCAGGGCAAAGTCTCAGCAATGAGAAAGACATCCTGATGGGGATGTCCTTCTGTATATATATTTCTCTTATTGGTTGATGAATAAAACACTGATTGGCCAATGAGCCATGCATGAAGCATAGCAGGGGCTACCAGACCAGGAGAAGGCTGGAGAAAGGAGGGCAGAGAGGGACAGCAGAGAGACACCATGCTGCCGAAGGAGTAACATGCCAGATTATGGATAAATCACAGCAATACATAGATGAATAGAAATGGGTTAATAATTAAGACAGAGATAGCCAATAAGAAACCCTAACCACTGGCCAACAGATTATAATTAATAGATGCCTCTGTGTGTTTATTTAGGGCTGAAGGGTTGCAGGACCAGGCAGGACAGAAACGTCTAGCTACAACACCCTGTTTAAAGAATACTGTTAGCTGATGAGAAAAGAAAGCCATGATTCACTATCATGTGATAAAACAGTTTACCACAGGCCAAATGATGCTGGATGCAGAGAAAAAACTTGGAGTGCAGTCCATAAACCAAACCAACAAATCAGAATAATCAAGACTGGGAAAACACAAAGAGACACATGACCTAGCTGTATATGTGACAGCATTGGGAATAAAGACACCAAGTAAGTGTTTATAGGCCACAGTAGCAGTGTATTGCTTTGCAAATTATTTGCGTCTGGGTGGTTAAAAGTTATCCAAATAAAGTAGATAACTAATTGGTTGGTTGATTGATTGATTTATTGACTGACTGATTGATTGTTGACTGACTGAAGGAAGTTCTTACTATGCCTAGAACCCACTACGTAGACCTAGAACTTGTGGCAATCCCCCTGTCGTTGCCTCAATGACATCCTGAAGATGGCTCTTGAATGGTGGCCTGTAAGCTTTGTTTTGCCAAATTGATGACACTTCAGTAGGTTAATAGCTGGAGAAATTCAGGTTTGTGAATGTAGCTTGTATAATAAAAACCAGAGAAAAATTAGAAGACAATATGTAGAAAACAAAAAAAAATTAGTTTTCAATTTATTTTTAATTTAATATGTTAAAGTTTGAGTGTGTATGTGGTATGTGGTATAAATGTGTGGTTTGTTGACTGTGGATGTTCCTATTACCAGAGGCCAGAGGATGCTGAATCCCCAACCCTATCACTCTTCGTTGTATTTCTTTGAGGGGGGAATCTCTCGATGAACTTGGAGCTAGGCTTGAGGCCAATGAGTTTGATGATCCTCCTGTCTCCATTCCTACAGCATTGGGAATGCTAGTGCACAGAACTATGCCCAGCTTCTCATATGGGTTCTGGGGATTTGAACACATGCCTTCACACTTTAAACACTGAGCCATCTCCTCCATTCAGTTTTTGTTCTAAAGCAATTGGCTCATGGGCAATTCTCTTCCATCCACACTTTCCCAGAATTCCCTGAAGCTATCACATTTTATTTACAAAATAAATATTGAGCAAGTGGAAATGACACCAAGAACTGACACCAATCTAACACACACAGTAAATAGCATAATAAAAGCTTTCCTTTGAACTTCGATTTCTTTGGAGTTAATTTCAGTAGCAAAATTATAAATGCCTGCATCAGCCACTGGAATAGAGTATAATAGTTTCACAAGATTGTAGAGTTCAGCTTTTCTGGTTTCCCACTTTCTTTTTAACATGCTACTTTCATTTTCTAAAAATCAAATAGGTGATGTCTTTTTTTTTTCACTCATATTATTTGTGAAACTTTGTCTTTTTACCTGAAATTCTCATATTCTTGTGCTTGCCGTCTCCATGGGCATTTCTGGATGTTTGTGATGATCTGGAGGTAGTCGTCCTCTGAATACCTGGGAGTTGAACATCAATGAGATTAGACAAGGAAGTCTCAGGGGGCTCTCTGAGGACACATCTATCTCTCCTCATTTGCTGAAAGTAAGCAAAAGTCATTAAATACCAAACCTGATCCCAAGTGCCTAAGCACATACAGCTTGAAATTTGTTATTGTGTATGCTGGTTTAAGAATGTATATACTGCAAATATCATAAACCAAGTTCAGCATTACAATCAGTGAACATTTTCTCTCCTTTCCTCTGTCTCTGTCTCTCTCTCATACACATATACAAAAGTAATCTTATGTTAACTTTAACTCAGTGACAGATAAATACTTTTTAAATGTTGATCATGAACATATAATTGTGTAAGCTTGTGCATGCATGTGAGCATAATCATCTGGTTTTAATTTTCTGCAATACGTTAAAAATCCAGACTGGGCTATGGTGAGAAAACTGTACACAGGCATTAAAAGCTATAGACAGTGACACAGTCTGATAAGATGGCATGGGACAAAAATCCCAGCTTCCTTGGATCTCTCTCAATCTGAAATTCCATCATTAAGTATTAATTCCTAAAGCACAGAATGCTGTTTCATCTTTAAGGGTGTTCATTTGAAATGCAAATATCCCTCTGAGTTGAGAAAGAGAGAGAGAGAAAAAAAAAACCCACCTTGTGCTTTGTTTACTCATCTCTGAGCCATAAGATCTCTAGCCATTAAAAATCAAAGCTGGACAACAGAGGGGTGGCAGGAGAGAAAGAATGTGTTGGTGAGTGTGTGGAGAAGAGAAAGGGCCTGGGCAGCTTTGCCTGGAGGAAGGAGTCCATTACCCATAAGAACACAATGAAGACTCTCCAAGTTTATCTCTACAAGGAAGCATTTCTGGCAGGCAGGGGTATAGTCACCACAGAACTCCTTTGTAATTGAAATATACCTTCCCAACAATGCTAGCACCAGCAATCTACTTGATTTCTACTGACTCTGCAGATGAACCCAGAAAAATCTAAGCACATAGTGAATACTGAATGCAAATCAAAGAGTTTCCAGCAGGATTAAAAATAGTTTAAAGTGCAAGTTCCCCAACACAGCAGACTCAGATAGATCACTACATGGGTCTAGTATTCATCTTAGCTCACTACTTGTAATAGCCCCATGCTCTGACCCCCCCCAACCATCTAGATGAGAGATTTCCAGGCTGAAGTGTAGTACCTACCTCCATGGGGTTGAGGACAGACAAAGACCTTTTGCAAATGACTGTAAGACTAAATTTAAAGATACCCATTCAGCAATTTCCCCATAGTGTTCCTAACTCTGGACTTTTGAGATATGCACTGCTGTGACATCTTTCCTGTCTAGAGAAGCTACTAAGTCATAGCTTAATTCTTTTCAGGATGTTATCGGGACAATCAGAGCACTGTATGAGCAAGAGCCATGAACCAAGGTAACCAAGAATCTTTTGTTCCCTAAGTTCCATCAGTGGAAAAGTGTGAGGGAGAGAGAAGGCCAAACACATGTCTAATTTAAACCAATAAGAATTTCAAATGTATTTGATGCTAATATACAGTGTAATTGGAAGATGAAATAGAAAGCTATTGTCTTATCATCAAACTAGATGTACTACAATTTTTGGCATGCTATTTATGAGACAAAAGAGAAATGAAATGTTTTATGCTGTATGGCTCAGGTTAGTGCACTTGAAGATTAAGCAATAAAGACTATTAAAATTAAAAATAAATGTGCAAACTAAAGGAACTGTGAACAAGCTGGCCCTGGAAGTACAAGCCTATAATTCCAGTATGCAGAGGGTACTGAGGCTGACAGATCATAAGTTCGAATAGAGCCAGGCTTCTTATTAAGATCCTACATTGCTTTAACTTATTGACAAGTAAATACAAACTTTTAAAAGAAGAGGAAAAATAGCAACAGACAACCTTAAATTGTTTGATATCTGTATAATTATAGTCCTTATAAAAGAGAGGAAACACATCTTTGAAGTGTGATGGGATTTATCACCATAACTAATGAAAATTATAAATCTATACATCTAAGAATTCCAATGAACACAAAGAACAAGGAAGAAAATGATACCATACGAATGAATTCTTAGAGGCAGCACAGAGTAAAACCTAAAATGTAATGAAATGCAACACAGTATTAAAAAGAAAGCACAGCCTGCAACACACTTCTTAAAAATAATGGGATCCACAAGGCAGCGAATAGTGAAAGAAGCAGCAGAATGGGGGCTAGGGGGAGCTTATTTTAGAATTCTATACTCAGAAAATATTTCCAAATATGAAGGTAAAATAAGGACTTTATCTGCAGCAGTGTTGGAAGAAGTCTCTGGACAGAACAGCAATAAGGCAAATGGGTGTCCAGGTTGACAAAACATAATGAAGAGCTCTAGAAATAGAATATGTAAACATGTAAGGAACCTGTGCCTTTCTTTCCTATCTTTCTTTAAAAGGCAACTGAGGCCTATGAAATGGATCAGTCCTTGCCTGGAAAGCACAAGGGCCTGGGTTTGATTCCCAGAGCCCATGTAAAAATGACAGTCAGGATGGCACAATGTTTGTAATGCTGGCAGAAAGAGGCATACACCAGGATACCTGGGGCTTGCTGGCTGCCAGTCCAGTCTGTTTTGTGAGACCAATGCTATGAGAGAGGGAGGCAGAGAGAGAGAGAGATAGGAAGAGAGAGACAGAGACAGAGAGAGGCAGAGAGAAAGAGCCCATCTCAAAGGAGGTGGACAGTGCTCCTAAGCTTTGGCATGTGCACCCCCAGACACACACACACACACACACACACACACACACACAATTTCTTTAAGTATTAAAAAAGTAGAGAAAATGACAGTTTAAAGATAGTAATAATAGATGAAAATGATTATAGCATTTGTAAGATGAATATAATCACAGTTGTAGAAATGGAGTGGAAGAATCAGGAGCAGATGTAAAAAGCATTTGAAAGGAGACTACAGTAGGAAAAGAGATGTCTGCTGTATCTAAAATAACAGCAAGAAACAAAGAAAGCCACACAAATGCAGTCATAAAAACACTCAAAGCAAGAGGAAGTGAATAAAAAGAAGCAAGGAGCAGGCAAATGGAAAACAAACAGCAAAAGGGAAGAATAAACACAGCTATATGAACACTAACACTAAATTTAAATGATCTAGACACACACATCACAAGGCACAGAATGGCAGACTGGATTTTTAAAAAAGCAGTAAAGTATATGATTTTTTCCCCAATATCAGCAATATACAAACAAACAAAGTGTGGGTGTGCAATAAAAAACAGTAGAAAGATAACAACAGTAGAGACAATTTTTAAAAAGTTTGAGTAGCTATAATCACAGTCAAGTCCAAACAAGAAATATTACCACACAAAATCAATATTAATGAGTGGGGACTATTATAATGAAAATAGGGTAAAATCAGAAATAAAACTTACAAGCCTGTTGCTACCCTGCCTGACCTAGGAAAAGTAAGAGAAGATACAAATGAGCAATGTTGGGAATGAGAGGCCAAAGTACAACTGTCCTCATGATGTTATAATGTGTCAACAACTTAAATGCAATGGATGTATTGACTTAAAGGTGAGAATACCAAAACCCAGTCAAGTAAAAACAGTTGAGTAGAATCATTGTTATTTTAAAACTGCAATGAAAATACTCTCTGTGGCTGGATTTATATTAAGGTCTTTGATACATGTAGACTTGAGTTTTATGCATGGCAATAGACATGGGTCTATTGCCTACATTGCTACATTGCTTTAACTTATTGACAAGTAAATACAAACTTTTAAAAGAAGAGGAAAAATAGCAGTCTTCTACACACCATCATCCAGTTGTGCCAGCACCATTTGTTGAAGATGCTTTCCTCCTTTCATTGTATTCTTTTAGCTGTTTTGTCAAAAATCAGGTGTTCATAGGTGTGTGGGTTAATATCAGGATTTTCGATTCAATTCCATTGGTCTACCTGTCTATTTTTGTGCGAATACCAAGCTGTTTTCAGGAATATAGCTCTACAGTAGAGCTTGAAGTCGGGGTGAACCTCTTAGAAGAAAAAGTGGGAGGTACCCTTGAACAAATTGGTATAGGAGACTGCTTCCTGAACATAACACCAGTAGCACAGACATTGAGATCAACAATTAATAAATGGGACCTCCTCAAATTGAGTAGCTTCTTTAAGGCAAAGGACACAGTTGCCAAGACCAATGGCAGCCCACAGACTGGGAAAAGATCTTCACCAACCCTACATCTCACAGAGGGCTGATCTCCAAAATATACAAAGAACTCAAGAAACTAGCCAACAAAACTTCAAATAATCCTATTAAAAAATGGGCTACAGAACTGAAGAGAGAATTCTCAATAGAGGAAATAAAAAAGGCACTTAAAGTGCTCAAAATCCTTAGGTATCAGGGAAATGCAAATCAAAACAACTTTGAGATACCATCTTACTCCTGCCAGAATGGCTAAAATTAGAAACACTAATGACAACTTATGCTGGAGAGGATGTGGAGAAAGGGGAACACTCCTTTACTGCTGGTGGGAGCACAAACTTATACAACCATGTTGGAGATCGATATGACAGTTCCTCAGGAAAATGGGAATCAGCCTACCACAGGACCTGGCAATTCCACTCTTAGGCATATACCAAATGATCCACATCCATGCAACAAAGACATCTGTTCAACTATGTTTATAGCAGCATTATTTGTAATAGCAAGAACCTGGAAGCAACCTAGATGCCCCTCAACTGAAGAATGGATATAGAAGATGTGGCACACTTACACAATGGAATACTACTCTGCTGAAAAACAAAACAAACAATGGAATCTTGAAATTCACAGGTAAATGGATGGAATTTGAAGAAACAATCCTGAATGAGGTAATTCAGTCACAAAAAGAGGAACATGATATGTATTTGCTTATATATGGATTTTAGACCTAGAGCAAAGGATCACCAGCCTATAATTCACACCGCCAGAGAAACTAGAATACAAGGAGGAACCTAAG